TGAGCAGCGCCAGTTTGAAGCAATTCCTTGCTCAAGGGAATTCATGGTTATGACAACGACTGCTCTGCGGTGGAATCGAACCAGGCACCTTCGGACTGAGAAACCGACATATTAGGCACTGTGCCGTAACGACAAGCAAAATCGGGTTAAACTTCATTCTCTGAACTCAAGACCAAAAAAGGAATGAGAGTGGCGTCATTCGTTTTGAACTCATAAAAAACGTTGGAGCCCGACTGCAGAGGCAACAGGTTCGTCTATTGGAACGAGGACAGTTCAAAAGAAATGGAGACACAGCTACTCTCACCGCCCCACAGCCCGGAAACCAGTAGGCGGCCCAAAAGCCCACTGACCCACAAACCACACTCTTCCTTTGTTCTTGTCACAAACAGCTACTGTAAAAATTATTGCCACTTGCTGCTAGAAAAGATTATTGTCAGAATGCAATACAAATGTGCGAATTCATTTTGTGGTAAGCGGATTTGTAAATGATGCATGCTCTAATTTCAGCTTGCAGCGAAGAAACCGCATGATTCCATGTTCAGAGACATATCATGACGAAAATTCGTTTTGATTAGTACAGTGGTGGATCGACTTCTCTCTTGTTTGCGGGTTTCAGAGCGACACTGGGGGAAGTCATGAGCACGCTATCAAATTTGTCCTCTTTCAACCAAAATAAAATCCTGCCAGTATTATGTCAATAATCCTGGTAAAGTTATTATACAGCTGGTGCAAATATTGGAATAACTAAAACCAATTTATTACTATATACTAAGCAGCCGTCTTCTCCAAGAAAATCCCATGCTTCGGAAGATAACGAGAAGAACAAGATGTGCAATCAGTAACAAACTGTTCATCTTTTGCAAGACAGTGACTTTGGGCGGATTAAAAATTCAGTTTTTAATAAGACATGTAAAGATCTGTGCCGGAAGTCGAGGAATCACACTAAAACATTGAAAGTGAGGTTCCAAAGACAATCAATGGTCATTTGGCCAATCCTTTTTTTGTGTGCTGCTAATAGCTTCTCTATCGTCCTCAGAGCGAAACAATCAATGACTCGCTTCCTGCGGAACTAATGTAGGTCTTGTTGCGAAAAAGTAAAACGTTGTCACATGTATCAGACAGAACAGATTATTCAGCGGTTGCTAAATCTGTTACAAACATTTGTCAAAATACG